CTAGTCCCAAGAGCAGTCAGCCAGTGTCAGTCAGATTAAGACATGACACCCTCATCAACAACGACATCAAAGCTATCAAAGCCATCGCCATCGCCATTCCTGCCTGTCATCTATTTTGAAGCAGACTGGTCGACCCGTTTAGTCCTCGTTTCCGAATAATTGGATTCAGAGACAGAGCCGAGGCCCATCAGAACCAAAATCCTGGGCCTGGTCCTGTTTTCATGGTCCTTCCACTCGCAGAGGCAGAGTGAACCCCAGGTGACTTACATAAGACGGGCAAGCCAATCACATGCCACGATCCCTGTACCCAGTTTTCCGTACCGTTGAAGGCGCTCAATGCCAGCCGTAGCTCCGAAAACCAAACCACACATGCCCAGGTTCCTTTAACGGTGAGGTGCGACGCTGCGTGGCTGCTACCGTTCGATTAAGGTTGTCGTGTTCTGTGTTCTAATTTCTGCCTTATGCGTGAGGTCGATCGCTGCCAAACCCCCACGTTTCTACAGTACTCCGTACTCCAGTACCGACAATTGCCCGTTTCCGCCACCGTCAAGCCGACAACGCGACTTACGCCACGGTATCCTTGACGTCGTTCTGGTCCATCACCGTAACCAATAGCCATCAGAGCACATCACACGCATCAACTTTGCGCAGTTGGACATCAGGGCGTACTCCCAGTCAGCCGCTTACATTAGCAGGCAGCCGCGGCGCCGAGTTCACTCTCGGTGTTAATCATGATTCGGTGAGCTGCGGGCCGGTGTCGTCGATATGTCGGAGCCTGGGGATAAAAAGTTGACGGTGCCGAAGTTCTCGTCGTTCAAGCCCAAAGCCCCGGGTGCAGCACCACCTTCTTCAAGTGAGCGTTCCCGCGACCGGAAGAAGAATAGAGAAGAGAAGCCCAAGGAAGAACGAGCTCGTCATGAGTCTCGACGCCACAATGACCGTTCGAAGCATGAATCCGAGCATCGTCGGCAACATCGCAAACGAAGTCGGAGTCGCAGTCCCGGCCAAGAACGAGCTCTGGTCAAGAGAGTCGAGGTAGCACCTGTTCTGAAAGACAAGCCCGGCGATGGTCTTTTCTTCTTTGACAAAAAGGGCGACCCCTTAATCAGAAGATACGGCGGCAATGATCGTTCTCGCGTGCCCCTGTACCGCCGCAGTGGCCGTGGACGAGTCCTTGGCTCAGGTGGATATCTGTACCTTCATCGAGACGGCCCGCAGGAGCGCTTCAGTATTCGACAGCCGGGAGAAGGAACCTCGACGCTGCGAGATCGAGCTCTTTTCCAATCCAAGACTCACCGTGCAAAGCCGTTTCGTATACGCGTACGCAGCAGTCCCAGTGGTACCGATGTACATCTTGCTGAGGAGGACTTTGTTCCACTGAGCAAGTCATCGAAGCGACAGCGCGCCGAGTCGCCGGGATCATCAGAGGATGAGAAGACGGCGTACAGGTCGATCAAAGGCAAGGCCAAGGCTCATGAATTTTCCGACAGCGATATCGACTTCGATTCAGATGCCGAAGCTGGCGATTTCGACGTCGGATCCGATGATCCCCTGAGACAACGGTCGGTTCAATTGTCCCGTCGGGTCAAGGAGCACCCTGGAGACATTGAAGCCTGGTTTGAACTGATCAATCATCAAGACGTGCTGCTAGATGCAGGCGGGAGCCTGGACCGAGACGCCACCAAAGCCGAGGTTCACAGCTTTGCAGAAATCAAGATATCAATGTTCGAGTCTGCCCTGTCTCACGCAAAGAAGCCCGAAGATGAGGAACGGCTCCTTCTTGGCTTGATGCTGGAAGCTGCACAGGTTTGGTCTTCCTCAAAGCTCGAGAGCCGATGGGCGGATTTGGCGAAGAAGCATGATGATAGCTTTTGTCTGTGGAAGGCTAGAACTGACTACAAACTTGCGAATTTGGTTGCGTTCCAGTACAACGACATAAAAGCCCTCATGGTCAATCGATTACAGACCGTCTACAAGCAAGCCATGGTGTCAATGTCGCCCGGGCCAAGCCGCCTCGCAAGTAACGCAGAGACCCAGCGCTACGAGCAGATGGTCTATGTATTCCTCAGAACAACCAGGTTCATGTACGATGCTGGCTTCCGCGAGCTCGCAGTCGCAGCTTGGCAAGCGCTCCTGGAACTCAACTTGCAACGGCCAGCGGTCTGCGACACCATGGCAGAACTTCAGATAGTCAGTTCGTTCAAAGACTTCTGGGAAGACGAGTCACCAAGAATAGGAGAAGACAATGCCCTCGGGTGGAACCACTACGTCCAGATGGATGGCGTTGTCGACCCTCCGGAACCCCGGACAGATGACGATACTGTCCCCAAGTCGCGAGACGTGTACAAGTCCTGGGGTGCAACGGAAAGGCTTCGAGCGACGAACTCAAGGAACCCGGCACGAGCCACCGACGATGTCCTCGAGGATGACCCTTACCGTGTTGTTATGTTCTCTGACCTTGAGGAGTTACTATTTGTGATACCGTCAGAGGTTGTTCCCTCACTTTGGAAGCCTCTAGTTGATGCTTTCCTGCTCTTCTGCGGTTTACCCACTGGATTCCGGACCAGCGACTGGACGGAAGCTGCAGAGAACGACACAGTGATCATGAGCAATATGAGGCTGTTTGAGAAGGACGTACTACAGCGCCCCAACGAATCCGACGTCCTAGACGAAACCAAGCTGGTTCCAATTTTCAAGCAAGATGCATCTCGGTACGCGCTGTCGGCTGACTTGCTGTTTGCTGGTCCCGGATGGTTTTCGCCGTTTTGCGGGTGGAGCAGTACGTCCAAAGAGTCTGACGGACCCGTCACCATGGCAGCGGTCTCCAGCACTCTTCGGTTGCTGCTGAAGTCGAGAAGCTATCGGGAGCTGGCCGAGTACTCTCTGGCCATCGAAGTTGTCAATGATCCCAGCAACACCAAGAAGCGCGCAAAGACTTTCATCAAGCAAGATCCCTCGAATCTCAGGCTATACAATGCCTATGCTCTCGCCGAGTTCTCCAACGGCAACGCGGGAATAGGTCTCCAAGTTGTTGGCTCAGCGACAGGTTTGATTACCGTAAGTGCTAACACTACACCAATGTATATTTTATCGGCCAGGCTCTAATGATCATCTACTAGACCTCCAACAACATCGATGGCTCAATGTTATGGAATACCTGGGCTTGGCTGGAACTCCACGGAGGGAATAATGCTCAAGCTTTGGTGCGTATCTGTGCTGCGACAGACGAATCCTGGAGAAATGCCCTTGCAATCACGCCCTCTCCTTCACAACTTCTCAAGGTACATCAATCATTATCGGCTACTCTGGAGCATCAAATGTCTACGAAGCAGCTCGATGAAGCTATAGCTACCGCCGAGAGCTTGGCATTGCTGGCCTACCTCACAGCCCAGGAAGGATCTGAGCCTGCATCAGAGGCGCAAGGAAGCATCTCGGCTGCAATGGAGAAAATCTGGACCGCGTCTTCAGAACTCTGTGCTCAAGGTCAGACCAAGTCGTCAACGCATGAGAGACTTCTTCAAGTCGCTGCGAGGCTTCTTTACCACCATGCAAGCCGAGGGTAAGCATGTCCTAATTCCTCCAAATGTCTCGAGGTTAACGTCAAGGCAGACCATTCCGGCGTGCGTATTTGCGAGATCAGCTCAGCCAGTGCATTGACTTGTTTCCACGCAACACAATCTTCTTGAGCCTGTTCTCGTGGGCGTCAACCACGTTCGGCATTGAAGACCCTGTTCGTGACATTCTCCGAAAAGTCGCTCTCACGAACGCCAATGATAGCATCAGCAACCGTGTCTTTGCGATTCGATATGAGCTGCAGAGGGGCAACGTGTACTCCACACAAGCAGCCTTTGAGCGGGCACTAGACAGCCCGACATGCAGGTCCAATCCTGATCTATGGCGATGCTACATCAAGTTTAGCTACGCGAGGCAACAGCTTAGATCTAAGGCAAGGGATGTGTTTTTTCGAGGTCTTCGCCATTGTCCGTGGTCAAAGGAGCTGGCACTCGAAGCCTACACGACGCTCGTCAGCGTAATGGACGAGTTCGAGCTGCGGTCCGTCTTCAATACGATGTCATCCAAGGGGTTACGGATACATGTTGATTTAGACGAGTTTTTGGCCCAGCACAAGAAGACGTAAGGAGGGAGTTAAGGGGGTCAATTGAAGGAGATTGGCGGACAGCAAGCCCAGAGAGCCCGCCTAGCATAATAGTAACACAATACATTGGCGAATGCTATGACTGTGACTGATGTGGTGATTCAAACGGTGAGGGATGATACAAATGCTATTCATCAGTTGCATATTGCTGCGGCAGGAACTGAACAGTCCAATGGCTGGCTCTGTCAGCCTATGCAGAGACTATCTCGGCTCTAGAATGCAAGATTGCAGGATTAGGACGAAGAGTCACAGTGGCAATGCAGCCGCGGCGGAAAGGGACCTTGAAAGGGCAGGTTATGGCTTGGTTTGTAATAGGAACTGGGGAAATGTGAGGTAGTGTGGTTCTGATGCGGGGTGACTCATCAGCCATATAGCGACAATTGACTCTTTTTGTGCAGCCAGGGCGGTTTGAGGCGAATCAGGGTCCACACAGCTCGCTCGGTGTGCCCCGCACTGCCCGGCGCCCCTCCCCTCAATGGAAAGCAAACCTGAAAGCCCAGAAAGGAGAAGGCAGAGCCCATTGAGTGTGGTGAAGAACTGGTGCTGGGCTGGCACCCGTGGTCGACCTGAGCAGCTAAGGTAATTGCCCCACCTTGCTCTCTATCGATTGTCGCTTTTTATTAATTGCGACTTCCGCCACTGCAAAAATTCCATCATCAACACCACCCTCACGACAAGATCCTTGACGAACGACAATTTTTCCACACGACCGCGCCAAGGGTTTTTATTTTCCACTTCTCACGAACGAAGCATCTTTTACGAGTCTTTATAGCCGTAAAAGTCTCGTCACCTTCAAACCCTCTCAACAATCAGTAATCGAGTATCCCCCGAAACAACCACAATCATGGCGGTGCGCGCGCAATTCGAGAATTCCAACGAGTAAGAGAACCCCGCCGGATCGACCCCGCCATTGTGCTGCACGCCTTTGCTCCAGCAACCCGCACCCTCCGCGATGCTCTTTACCGTACAACCAGACGTGCTGACGCGAGACTTTTCTGCTCCTTTTTAGAATTGGTTGCTTTGCAACTCTCACCAACTCTTACGCCCTCGTCGCCCCGGGTGCCAGCGAGAACTTCTACAGTGTATTCGAGGCCGAGTTGCAGGGTGTCATCCCCATCTGCAGGGCAAGCATCGCCGGTGTCCGCATCATCGGCCGGTTAACAGCTGGGTAAGCAACAAGCGATGGATCCTTTAGGAGGGTTCGTTTCTTGGGCATACGGCTTCACAACCCGCGCGAGCTTCAAGTTTTGCTGACTGGTCTCGGCTTCTAGCAACCGCAAGGGTCTTTTGGTCCCAAACACAACGTCCGATCAGGAGCTCCAACATCTCCGGAATAGCTTGCCAGATGAAGTCCGCATCCAAAGAATAGAGGAGCGTCTTTCCGCCCTCGGCAACGTCATTGTTGCCAACGACCATATCGCCCTCATCCACCCCGATCTGGAGCGCGAGACGGAGGAGATTATCGCCGACGTCCTCGGTGTCGAGGTGTTCCGCCAGACCATTGCCGACAACGTGCTCGTCGGCTCGTACATGTCGCTCACGAACCAGGGCGGCCTCGTGCACCCCAAGACGTCGATTCAAGACCAGGACGAGCTGTCGAGTTTGCTGCAGGTGCCCCTCGTGGCCGGCAGTGTCAACCGTGGTAGCAACGTTGTCGGTTCGGGTATGGTTGTCAACGACTGGATGGCCGTGACCGGTTTGGACACCACGGCGACGGAACTCAGTGTTATCGAGAGTGTATTCAGACTGGGCGAGGGCCTGGGCCCGGACAACGTCAACACGAAGCTCAAGGACACCATGGTCGAGTCTTTCTACTAAAGAAAGGATTGGTCCTATGGGAAAAAGGGGAGAGCTGCATGTTGAGCGGTTGGCTGCAGGAGTACTTTCTGGGTCGGGTTTTTCGTTGGTTTGGGATACCACTTATTGGGTTGAGCATGGTTTGGTAGGCTCTTCTCGTGAGCCGGGTTTGGGTTCACTCAGTACAGTACAGATGTATCTGTATGGCCGGCATGAATAAAAGCCCCACGTGGGCACTTGAAACCCAATCTTGTTCAATCTCGTTGTGCCAGCTGGGTTCCCAACCATCGTGGCTGTGATTGTGAATGTGAACCAACCAATGCCATGACAATGATGATGGACAGGCTTCGATGTCGCTCAGATAAGATCTATCCCCTAGAGAGAGAAATAAAGCTAACCATGAACTTTGCTATACAAGGTTGAAGGAACCCAAACAGCGAATGCGATTCCGCGTACGTGGTATTTCCCGAGCAGGTCCTAAGTCATGACGGTCGTTGACGGCGAAAGAGCGAATTACATCGCAGTCCGTGGGTTTAGTTTGCCTTTCTGGCTGAAGTTGACCGAATCAACACCCTATTGATGAGTAGCCTATCAAGTTTTGCAGTGCCCATTTCGACCTCGTTGGTAAAGTTCCAGCCCCCCTCCCCCCGCCAAAGCATCTCTTCCCAACCTGGAAAGTACAAGCATTGTCCGGCTGAGGAGGAGAATGGTACGTGCGGGGGGCCGAGAGGGAGAGGGAGGATTTGTCTCTTGATTCAGTACGGGAGGGAGAGTGTAGATATGTGCGGCAGTCTCTTTTCCAGAGGAGGTCAAGCCTCAACTCTGGGGGGGAGTGAATATCTACGGGACGGCCCAGCCACCTGGTGCAAGGGAATGGCGGCGTGGAAAAAAAGAGAGGTCTCTTCTAATGCAAGTCTCGGGCTCATTCGTTGACCTTTTAGGATGTTCCGACGGTGTTCGACGCTTGATGTGCATTTTCTTTGTATATATAGACGAGACAAGGAATTTCCACGAGGGGCGCAAAATTTAGACTGCGATGGTACTGCCTGGGTTAGGAAGGGAGCATGGGAAGCGCGTGATGTTATGGACCGTGGCGGTTGAGGCGTCTTTTTGATTTGGGATGTGGAATGTGGTGGTTTCTTTTCTATATGCATGCCTGAGCGTGGCGGGATGGAGCAGGAAGGGCGGGCTTGAGCCGTCGATGGGGGGGTTTTTTGTTCGCCCTTCTAAGCTACCTTATTCTCAGTAGGATTTAATGTGAGTAAGGTTGAGTCGCCTGCTTTGCCCCCTTTGAACATTGGTGTTCATAGTTGGACGTGTGCCCTACAGAATTAGCGATTTACCATGTTTGGGATTTGTTCCAACGTTAGAATTCGGGAGCTCGGGACGATTGGAGGTTTCGCTAGTTTGGGGTTGCATTCCATGTTGGTGTAGAAGATCTGCGAGGACGGACTCTAGACGCCGATCTTCCGGTAGATGAAGGCAGCCGATTGCTATTCCTACGCGGGGAATGGAATGCCTCTATCCGTATTGTGTAGATACACAAGTAGGTAGTACACTTTGAGTGAGTTATGTGTTTGTGCCTGTCTACATCTCATCGCACTTTCAGATGTCAAGCCTCTCGGGCACGGGCATGGGCACGGTTGGAAAGCACAAGCCAGAGTCACGACAAAGTGGTGAGGAATCATCTGGTGGTTTTTGATGTCGAATTGCAATACGATTTCCAGGGTCCAAGAGAAAGGTACCTTTGGTTGCACGGACTCGGGGACGTGCGGTACGTGCTCCATAAAAAAAAAGAGGAAGGGAAAAGACCATCAATTGGGGAAGAGCGTTCGGGAATCGGCGGTGCGTTGGACACTTTGAGAAATGGCGGAAGACGACGAGGAGAGAGTGTTGTCCGTTGGCATGGTCAAGTGACGACGCACTGGATGGCGATTGTAGGGCCGCCTCACTTCACTGTTCAGAGCCACGGAATCTGGACCTGCCAGCCTGTACCTCGCTGCCGGCCCGCTTTTCACTGCCCAAATGGTGATCGGGTCGACGGGTTCCACGGCCAAGTTGCTGGAGACGGGATGGAGACCGCCCAACCACCGCCAATTGCTGGATGTTGACGTCGCCCGCGTCGTCGCCTCCTGCCCGGGTCCTATGATTTGTTTATCAGGGACCTCCCGGCGTTCTTTTTGTTTTCTCTCCTTCGTCTTGGTGGCTGTCGACCTGAACCTTCCATTCTCTTTCCTCAGTCCTGTGCACATCGAAAGGGGAAAATCAAGGCTATTTGCTTTTTTTCTTCTTCTCCGTCACTCGCCGTCATAACGTCGACGCCCCCTGCAGCGCCGGCCTCGTGGGAACAGACACGCCTTTTCCCTCTGTGTCTGCGTCAAACCTGGGGTCTTCCCCGGTTCTTCGACACCTGCACATACCACGGATACATTGTACCGGCTATATGCAGCTTCACAACTCTTGGGCCGCACTCTTTGTCTCCCTCGCACGCTTGCATCAACACTGACGGATACTTCCTGTCTGATATCCATCCCTCCAGAGTACCTTACGCAACTACGGATACGTACGCACAAATCGAAACGAAACGACGTTTGCCTATCTGTACGCCCATGCTGACTCGGAGGCTCGTCCATCCACTCTTACTATCACATTTCCTTTGACCGATATCCAACGCTGGACCGGGCACCCCAATATCTCCGCTTTTTTATGCCTGTACTATACTTCGTACAGAGTGACCCCGACACTTTTGCATAGTCACAACATTGGAGGAAGCAGTCCGAATATCAATAGGTATTATAAAGCCTTGGATCGGGATAATCGCGACTAGCCTCTCAGGCACAAGCGCAGTCGTGTACTCACCTGCGACTTTGACAGCTTCGACGGCTTACAGCATCCCGCGCCGCCGACGCCTTCCAAGCCGAAAGCTCTCGTCACTTTGTTCACGATCTGCGGCTGGTTGCGCACCTTTACTTTCTGTGCGACCATCCCTGTGCGACCTCACTATACTGCAAGTCTGCAAGGACCGGGCACCCAAGGGCCGTCTTCATCGATTCCAACAAGAGGTTCATGCGAGTTGTGCTTGACCGTCCGTCGCCTGTCAACTTTCCCTAGTCCGACCGACGCTCTTCATTCTCGCTTGCAGGGGGACCTGGCATCTCATCACGCCAAAAAGTCTCGCAGACTCGCACTCCCCTTTGTCCCAGCTCGATCCATCCCTACCGAGCGGGCGACCACCACCAGCCGACCACCCTAAAGTTCCAACGCTCTTTCCTCGAAAAAGTCCGTCTTGACTCTAGGTTGCTCCTAGCTCGCGACGTCCGCCCCTCCCCTTCCGTTGCTTGTGGCCCGAGTCGATCCATTTACGTTCTTGGTCTGGCTGCCAACCCAAGCCCGCGATACCCCCGGCCGTACAGCTAGACTCAAGCTGGGAGACACATATTGCCCGTCCCACACGAAACATTAACTTATCATGCTAAGCCGTCACGCCGCCGCCTCCACACCCGACTCCCCGATGTCTTTCCCACGCCCAACCAAGTCCTCTGGAATGGACAAGACTCAAACTCTACGTCGTGCACATGGGCCTGAGAGCGTTGATCCAGAAGACGATCCTGCTTCCCCAAGCGCTACCCCCGGTGCTGCCTTAAACACCAACCCGCCTGTCCAGCCCGAGCCGTGTCGCATTAGCTCGTCTGGAGCCGATCGAAGCTTTCCTCGACTACACTCTGGTCACCAGAGACAGCATTCAGTACCAAACTTCCCTTCTACCAGCAAATCCGTCCCACAAGTCACCTTCTCGCCATCCCTTGAGCGAGGGTCTGGCCGCCCCTTGTCGGTCAATATGCCTCTCACGGGAGACAGCAGGAAGCCTTCAGATGCCACTCGAGGAGGCATACTGAGCGGCTGGCTAGGTGGATCTCCCAACAATACAGAGGAAGCCAAGACGAACGACGATACGATAGAGGGGACGCCTACAAACAGGCTACGCAGAAGACAAACCGGTTCAACGGAGACAACACCCAAAGGAGTTTCGCCAAGTACATCACGGTTCGCCTTCTTCAGCTCGCCCTTCTCCAAGAACACACCAACACAAGTCAGCCCACAGCAGGATGAAGAGTTATTGTCTATGAACATCCAGGAAGCGCTCTTCCCTCCTACCTCTCCGACTCACAGAGACGCCTTCTCGCCTGCGGCCTTCAAAAACCTAGAGGCTACGGCCGTTGGCCTGTTAACAAAGTTCCAAACCGCCTATCAAAGGCAAAATGCCGCCTTGATAGAACTACGAGTCGAAAAGGACGCTCAAAACGAAGAAAACGATGAGGCGGACACACGGATCCAACACCTCAAAGTCCAACTTGAAAACATGGCAACCAAGGTGGCCGAGCAGGAACAGTCGATGCAACAGCTTATGACCGAACTGAACGCGGAGAAGAAGGCCAGGCAAGAGGAGAGGGCGATGCGTGAAAGGAATCGTCCGATTTCCGAGGGATCGTCAATATCCGAAGATCTCGGCGCCGAAGAGGACCAGGCCAGGAGAAAGTGGAGAAAGAGCGCGGGATTCGACACGGACGAGGAGAGCGTCGAGGACGCCAGCGTTTTCTCGAGGTCACGAAGTCCTACCACCGCCGCACCCAGCGTGTTCGAGGGCAGTATATCGGAGGCATCAGCAACCCCATCAAAGTCCAATTCGCTCGGCCCTCCGAGAACCTCACGGCCGCCGCCGACATCGAAACCGTCACCACAGCAGGCAAGCGTCTTCCAGAAACTTATGAGAGGGGTTACAGGCGACACTGCGAAAGAGGAGGGAGGCGCGGCATCGTGTTCGAACTGCCGCGGGCAGGACCAGCGGGCCGCGTGGGATACGGTCAGTCTGCTGAAAGACGAGAACCGTGGATTGAAGCATCGTGTTGAGGAGCTGGAGTCGTGTGTCGACAGTGCGTTGGACGTCGTCAACGGGCTTAGACTTGACTGACTGTGTCGTCATGTGTGATCTGCATACCCCCAACCGCGCGAGCTATCCTCCGCGGCATGACTGGCGTTTCCTGGGGTTCATATTCTCTTCTTCATGAGTTAGGAGTTTCTTTGGACATGATGGGACAAACCGATACCAATGAGCTGGCATTGTTGAAATCTTTGAGAGCGGACATGGGGGCATATACCTCGTCACTGGCAGACGATTTGGTAGAGAATGAAAGAAATCTGTCTGGCTACTGCAATATTTCCTCGTTGTGACATCCACGCATCCTTAGTGACATGTTTGGGTAAGACCGAATCGAATCTATGGGAGTAATAGGGTTGTGTCGAGACGGAAAAAATGTAAGCACCTAATCTCAGATTGGCAGGCTGACGTTGGGGAGGGAGAAGGCCAAGGAAGCTTGGACGGGTAAGAGAGAGGGAGGTGAGAATTATGAGATGATGGGTGGAAACGGGTGTCTGTGCCAAGAGGACGTGGTCTTGGGAGGGCAGAGTGGTGATTTCTATTATTTTTCTAGGCTTTTCTGTGGCGATTTGTCGTGATTCACTAGGAGAATGCAAGTCAAGCAAGTGTTCATGGCTGATGGTTGAGATTCTAAGGTCCGTAGCCTGCTCATCTCTTCCTTTCGTAAATACGTTTTGGCCCGCTGCGTGGATCTGGGGATGGGCCGCTTCTGGCAATAGCGTCAGACTGGACTCCTCTTATATGGTCTGCTTCAGTCATGTTTTGATGTTCAGTCTATTTCGTATACCATATGATCATTACGTATAGAGGTATTCGCAAATGGCGAGCTTTCCTGAGTACCTGTGTACGTAGTGTAGATTCAGCAACAAAACATCATATGATCAATGCTCTAAATTGTGATGCCGTTGCCCGCGTATAGCTAGAAGGAACTGTCTGTCGCGCCGCAGGACAATGGGCGATAGCTTGCTGATCAGAGAATAGAGGAAAGCAAGTGGTGGTAGCCCGTTTCCATGCGCCCATTCAGCTTCCCCGTCGACTTTGGAGGGGCAAGCGGCTATACAGACAAGAAGAGCAACCACGGTCAATACCACAGTTACCAGTGAGACCAATGGAGCCTTTCAGAATCGGACTTTGCGTGTTCGTCAGGCTTTCTCCTTCTCATCGACCTGACGGTTGGAGTCGGCAGCGGGCAACGCTCTGACATATCCACAATTAGCCACCGGCATCAAAGCCAGGCTGTTGTTCACAACACTCTTGAGAGTCACACGATATCTTGAAAGCGGAAAACAAAATTCATCCTCATCTAAATCCTTCCAGCGAGCCGGTCTGCCGGTTCGAGAGGTACATGTACAGCGGAGTATTCCCCTTCTCCGTCTCCCCCACAACCAATCCATTCGGCAATCTAGTGGTGGTCCTTTCCGTGGGCGTCGCCGTGGTGGTGGTCGTCGGTCAAGAAAAAGTACTCGTAGGCGCAGTAGCCCGCAAAGGCGACGGTCGCGATGCCGAGGCCGGGGAAGGATCCCTTGAACCGGTTGAATCGCGTGAAGGGGCCCTTGTATCTCCAGGACTCTCTGTGGTCTCCATTGTCAGCGGATGTCGCGGTGTTCGTCGGGGGCTTCGTGCTCAAGTGCCACTCACGCTCTCTCCCAAGGGTCGTATCTGGGCTGGCCGGCCGCCTCCTTGAAGGCTCTCATGTCGAAGCCGGTGATGTTGGGCTTCTGGCCGCGGGTGGCCGCCATCGCTAACCTGGTGTCAAATGGGCGTCAGCAGTCTGCTCTCCATCTCACTATATCAATTGAGCGCTTTGGAGAGCAATTACCTCGTTGGCTGCATAATTGCTGTGTGAATGTCGTCTTGCCGTACAACAATGGACTCTTTGGTGGTGGTCAGTCGAGTTGGGGCGAAGCTGATTGGAGATCTTTGAGATGTTGTCGGCGGAAAGTACCGTGGTACGTACCTGGCGGGCTCTGGTCTCGCACAGACCACCCCTCGTCCTCCACGGTCGGTCAACCAGAGCAAGCCTTCGGGCCTCATCCACACATTCTGTCCAAATCCGAGATAACCAGACGTTCTCCCCAGCGCTTTAGCTCCGCACGAACCCAGAACGACGATCAGCATCACTCAGCAAGCATCACTCGACGCGACGACTTATCCCCTCTCGAAATTATCGCCCTTCTCGTACATTCAAAACGAGCCAATCCGACCATCAGCGGGGAAGAACAAAGGTGCTTCTGTACTGCCAACCACCTCGTCCCTCACTCGCATCTCCAGACGCAAATGCAGGGCCGTGGACCGTCCACAACCCCTCAGAACCCAACGCGACCTTGCCCGACGACACGGTGAACTTTCGATTTCAGTGTACGAACCTCTCGAGAGGCATAGTCTGTTATGCCGCCACAGCTACCTAGGTTCCCTGGCGGGCCCAATACCATATCGCCATACCACCAACAGTTCCCCTCCCACGCCCAAGGCCACGGCCCGAATCATGGACCCCCTCTAGGAGCAAACCCTTCCTACATCAACAACGCCGCTCAGATGAACGCCTTCTCTTCGAACGGAAACGTCCTCGGCGGTACTCCCGGTCTGAACGGTGGCTTTCCCCTCGGCGCCGACACCGGTCTCGGAAGCCATGCTGCGCGGATGGGTTTTGCGCACGCGGCCAGCTTGCAGCAACAGCAGCAGCACGGGCAGCAGCAACATAATTTTGGGCTCGATCATGGCGCGGCGCCGGCGCGGACGACGCAGAACAAGGGTAGAATAAGGGAGGTGTGGAAACACAACCTTCACGAGGAGATGGCGGTACTACGGGAGCTCGTCGACAAGTACCCGTACATTGCTATGGTTAGCAGATATGCTAGGTGTTCTAGATGATGGATTGAGGCTGACAGTACACATCACAGGACACGGAATTCCCAGGCGTCGTGTCACGGCCAATGGGCTCTTTCAGAGGAAAGAGTGACTACCACTACCAATGTCTGCGCACCAACGTCGACATGCTCAAGGTCATCCAGATCGGACTGACGCTTTTCAACGAGGATGGCGAGACGCCGCCAGCAAGACCAAACTCGCAGCAAGACATTGAGCTGAGTGCTGCTCAACGGAGAGCAGCATCGCAAGGGCCGTTCCCGTATGCATGGCAGTTCAACTTCAAGTTCTCCGTTAAGGACGACATGTATAACGAGAAGTCGATCGAATCATTATCGAGTGCCGGAATTGACTTTGCGTCTCTCGAGAGAGACGGCATCGACCCTCACGAATTCGCCTCCCTTCTCATCCCATCCGGTCTGGTATGCTTCGACAACGTGAAGTGGATCTCCTTCCACGGAGGCTACGACTTTGGCTACCTTACCAAGCTGCTGACATGCAACGACCTCCCTAACGACGAATCGGATTTTGATCAAGTCATGAAGCTGTATTTCCCGTCGGCCTACGACGTCAAGCACCTGATGAAGCACGCCATTCGACTTCACAACTCTGGGCTCCTTACCCCCAGCGATCCTAGCAGCGCCGATATCCTCCAGAAGTTTGAGCACAAGTCTGGCCTCGAGAATATCGCCGACTCCCTCAAGATCAAGCGCGTGGGCAATGCGCATCAGGCCGGCTCAGACTCTCTGCTTACGGGCAAGGTCTTTTTCCAGATGCGCGACAAGATCTTTAATGGGGAGATTCCAGAAGAGCATGTGGGCAAGGTCTGGGGGTTGGGTATTCCGGAGCTCCTGGTGTTGGAGAGATTGCCGTTCGGTAACAACGGTGGCAACCAAGATTCGGCGCAAAATCAGGGCCCCAATGGTCAGCACAATGGAGGGCCGAGTACGCCCAATACCGGTAGTGTCGGTCTCGCGAGCACGCCTGCCGCGCAAGCACACAACACCAATGGCATCTCCATGGGACCAATGACCCCAGGCGGGGGAGGCGGGGTCTTTGGCAACTTTGCCTTTGGTGGCGCCAGATAAGCTTTCACGTCTCTTCGACTCCTGACTGGGGTTTGCGTGGGCAAAGAAGTCATATGGCGCACGTTGGACTTCTTTTGGGCGGGCTGGCCATGGTGACTTGCTTCCCGAGGGGGTCTAATGTAGACGCTGGCTTTTGGTTTTGCATACTTTGTCTATACATTCGGAAGCGTGGAAGAGGTCGCTCCCCTGCATCCCTCTGCCTTATTCTTTCAGTGGAAAAGCTCATAGTCGCTGGGAGTAAAAAGCTCGTTCTTCACGACAAAAAAGATTTATTCTATTTCAATGTTTTTTCTTCTTCCTTCTCCGGTCTGTTTATGCGGTGATTGCGTTCTGGAGTTGGGATTGGGGGAAGGGGTTTCCCTCTTGGTTCCAGCATCACATCCCGTAAGGTAGGACGGCGGCGGCGGCACAACGGGTCGGGTTTGGGCTTTTTCATCTGGATGACGGTTGGGGGGGATAAGGGATCGGGATTTGACTACAAATTTCCCAGTACGCCTCAGTTGGGAGTCGGCGGGAGTCGCGAAAAGGAGCCGAAAAAGGAATTGGTGTCTAGGCGGCAACGGAGGAGGGAGCGCCTGTGGCGGAAGGGATTGTCGAAGTAAGAGAGTACGAGCGCATGAAAACTTTACTCTTTACACGTGTATTGATATTGTGAATATCCTGGATTAGGGAGGCAACCGGGGGGAACGACTGGAATTCAAATGCAAGTTTAGTTGTTTACAGTTTTTGCTGGAGGGCTTTGAATGTGATTGTTTGCACAAAAGTGAGTTGACTTCAAGGGGTTTGTAGTGACTCTTGTAGTCTATCGAGGACCTTTTCTGTTCGCGATGAGTTTCGACCAGGCGGGTTGATGACGGGATGGTAACTCGATGGCTGTCTTGTAAGTCTGCGAGACAAGGTCCCTCAAAAGTGTTGATCTACCTCCGTCGATAACCTCACTGGAGATATTACCACCCGTACGAGACGTAGACTGCGTATGTTGAGCTACTCCCAACAGGGTGAGAGTATTGTGGTAATTTGAGCGTGTTTAGTGACCTACCTAAGCGTGCTGAGATACTTGAAGCCGCCTTCCCACCGCACCTTTACTGCTTCGCGCAGGTGTACGTGGAAACAGACGTTTAGTATTTTACTATTGACTCGGTAGGTTGATGGTAAACGAGAGAGAAACCCTGGCAAGTCTTAAATACAGCCATACTCATGTACCAGATATCCTACGTAGGTTGGAGTAGGTCGTTGGACTGAAAATGGGGAACTAAGAACGATGCGTATAGGCCGTACTTGCGTAAGTTGATGCTGAAATCTGACAACTTGCCGTTCTCAAAGCTTTGGTTCTTGTTCGTGTTCTTGAAACTAAGGGATCTCGTATCATTTTAACTCTGGCTGTTGTGAACGATTGCCGAAACTGATAAAGAAAGCAATTATCACAACTCGATGCTGATATGCCTCGTTCAAGTTGCTCTCAGGATGTATTATTTGGGCGTAGCAGAGCAATTTGGCTTTGAAGCAGCTTGCCTCCAGGAAGCGAAGTAGCACTGAGATTGTTCCCTGTCTCTTAGATATCAACTACCTTACAACGCCGAATTGTTTCTGGGATTAATCTGTCGAGCGGCATAATCATAGTTCCCAATACCAAGAGGGAGACCGGCATTATAGAATAGACATTAACACCTCAAAATTTGCACTCGATGTTGAAAGACACATTGAATGAAACCAACGAAAACAGAGATCTTCAAATCGTGGCTTCTAAGAATACTTCCCCCTTTCGATAGCAGGGAAGGGACCTTGATCCGAAGTACAATCCCGCGCCTAGACCGGCTGCTTCAGCAGGAAAAGCGGATCTGCCGGGAGCGACGACTGGGACCCGGAAGGTCTTCATCAACTAAACTGGAGCGAAGAACACAAGGTGGACACCTGCGAGTGTAGTGCAGATGACGTAAACCCGCTCGTTTGCGGACCTTCCAACACCCCGGGTCCGTGCACATGACCTGGTCCTCGTAGATTGTAGTCTGATCCCCTGTGTCAAAACATTCCTATCCGCAGAGGGTGCGCATGCGCTTTCTTGGAGAGTCTTCCGGAAGCCTACAGATGTTCCCCCGTCTTCCGGCGCGCATTACGAAGCCTTCCTACCCAACGTAATTCTTTTTTTTCCCGCCCACAACGGAAGGAATACAACATCTGCGACGACAACCTTCGAAAGATCGATACAAGTTGGAAACGCAGCGCCTCATGGACGCTGTCTCGACCACGACACAATGTTCCACGTCGTGAGCGCCTCGTCGCCGGTGCCATCGGAAATCTTTGCGCTCCTTGCGCTCCTCGTCATTTCCGTCATCGTCCTACTGATTCTGCGCCATTTCCTACCCTTGCGAACAACTCCCGCATTCTACCTGGTTCCCATCTTCTTCGCATTATGGCTGCCCGCGTGCATGGTACTGCTCGTTCCGATCGATTTGGCCTCCAGCGCTAGGACCGACGATGAGGCCACGCGCGGTATCTGGCTCCCCCAGCGATTGCTGCTGGTGTCGTGGAGGATTACTTACTGGCTCACTTTTGCCTTGACATGGTGCGTGGCTCGCCGTAGTTGTTCCCCTTGGCCAGTTTGCTAAACATTTGTTACAGGTTCATCCTCCCCATCCTTGGCGAATACTCCGACTCCGGCTACCGCGAACCGCAAGACTGTCTCAAGTACTCACTCCGTCAAAATGCGCAATACCATGCGATGGTATTCGGATCTGCTGCCATCGGCCTCACGTACCTTTTCGCCAGATACGGCGTCGGCGCTTTCGAGTTCAAAGCCTCCTTCATGGCACTCGCATATTTCTACGGCTTAGTTTTCGCGATATACCTCATGGGACACGGCTTGGTCTCTGTGCCCCGGCGACTACTTCGGTACGCATCTATTAGCGGCAGACTGCGTCGACTACAGATTCGTGCACCGAAATTATACGAAAAGATGGAGGATTCCCTGCTGAACCTGGAGGATGTCGAATTACAAGTATCGGAGCTCGGCCGTCGGAAGACTGGCAGCGCAGTCAAATTTAGCGAGTGGATCGACGAGCTCGTTGAAAGCGCCAATATGCCCGAATCCCAGCCTCGCACCGTTGTTGGCGACACGCGCGCCCTGCCAACCGTTATCACGGAGAAGTTCATGGCGGACTTGTCCAGGAAGCTGATGCGAGCCCGCCACACACGGTCCCGTTACGTGAACGAGTGGAACGATTTGTTGAAGGATGCCTCTGACACGCAAGCAATTCTCGACTCCGCCGCCTCCAAGAAGCTGACGTTTGCCGCCCCTTCACCACACGCTGGGTTCTGGGATCGATTCACCGTCCACACGCCGTACTCCAGATATATTTACTACTACCATTTTGAGCCTTATGCCTGCATCGCCTTGGGCGTGTTCCTGGCAGCTGCTTCGGTTCTCATCATCTGGTCGGAGCTGGTCAAGGCCGCGTTCCCTCAGCTGTCCGTCATCCGTCTAACCGTTGTCCATCACTGGGTCGGAGAGAAGGGCCAAGTTGGTTTCGCTGGACAACTTATCTCGGTTCTCTGGCTACTCTACATGTGTGCGGCTACGTTTATCACCATGACGGAGGTGAAGACTTGGCGCGGGCGTGCGCTCGTGAAGCGCAATACGGCTTATGAATCAGCATTCTGGTATTCCGGACAAGTTGCGAAGCTCAGTGTTCCTCTGTCATACAACTTTATGACCTTCCTATCTGGCGAAATTTACAAGAAGACTCGATTCTATGGCTTCCTCGGGACGCTGGTCAACTTTACCCCATTGGGCCGCTGGGCAGACTACCTTTTCCCCGTTTTTGTACTGCTCCCAGTGGCGGCCACTCTATTTGGCTTGTACGGGAAGGTCAAGCGCATGTTTGGCTTCGGCGGCGAATTCATCGATGATGATGACGAGAACGGCGATGGACGAGTCTTTGGCACAGGGTCATGGAGGGAAGGTCGCGATCTCATTGAGCGCGAGCTGGGCGGCAACTCTGCCTTGCGTCGCCGTGAAGAGGCTTTCGCTAGGCTGGAGTCGGGCGGGAGATCCGCTCCTGTCCTGACGATTCCTGGCGGACGCAACGGCCTCGCCTCCTCTCCAGCAAGGTCTCCTGTGCGGGCCACTACTAACCGTCAATCGGGCCAATCGTCCCGAAACAGGCCGTACCGTGATGAGCCAGAGGAGGATCAGAACTTTTTCGAGTCTCTGGGCCATCGGATGAAGAACACGATGGACACCTTTGAGCCCCCACAATGGTTCCAGGACATCAAGAAACCCAAGTGGATGGGTGGCGATGATGACGAGCCAGGCAGCGGTAGCGGCAGTGGTAACGGTGGCGGGGTCGAGTCTGACATTCGACGATGGTTTGGCGGTGGCGGTAGTAGCGAAGGACGAGTCCGGCTGTGAATTCTCTTTTTCCCTTTGTTGCTTTTGAGTATCACCACGTTGCACGACATTTGGAGTCTCTACCAAGAGCTGGGGAGAACGCATCGTTCGGAGTTTTGGCTTCATCTTCCCACGCCTGGAGCTTTGGGACGTAGTCGTAACCAAACGCACCAAATTGGCAGGGGTAAATAGAATGGTTTAATAGCGGTGCGAGACCCAGCACCTATTTATGAGATAGAATTACGTTCCATAGATTCCCCATACGAAATCAAAGTAATAGTCAAATATGTCATGTGTATTGCAATGAATGTTCCGCATTCGGTGATCAGATTTCGAACAGGATGATATAACGATGCTGAAGCCGACCTTGGCCGTGTCGTTGACTGATTGATATAAGCTCCCCGACGAAGCCGGCCCCACTGCGGCTTCGGCAGGAAGCCGGGGTACAGCAGTCGGATGCATTAGTGGATGTGCCGGTGGACCGTGCACAATCTGCCTGAACTGCGCGACACACCTTTCGCCTTGGCTTTATTCTTCAACCCAACATCACCACATTACACAATGAGCAAACCAGGCTTATCGTTCGGCCTCAACTTAGGCAAGAAGCCCGGCGCATCCAAACCTGCGCCTGGAAAACGGAAGCCATTTGGCGCCACAGCGTTTGGCGGCGGCGACGACGACTCTGACAACGATGCACCCAACTCAGGAACCAAGATCGAGTCGTTAGACGAGCTAGGCGGTCTTGAAGTCGACTCCTCTTCCAGCAGACAAGACAGCGGAGGGAGGAAGAGCAAGCTCAAGAGCAAGAATGCCCTGCCGACACAACCGCCCGCGAGCAGAACCAAGAAGCAGGAGAGCGCCATGTTTGGCGACCTCTCGGGCTCGCTCACGTCCAAGAAGCACGCCGAGGCGGCGGAGGAGCTCGACCCGAGCGTGTACGACTACGATGGCGTGTACGAATCGTTTAAGCCGCAGAAGAAGACGACCAAGGAAGACGTGGAGAGGAAGCCTAAGTACATGAAGAGCCTGCTCGCGGCGGCCGACGTGCGGAAACGGGATGCGCTGATTGCGGAGGAGAAGAAGATTGCGAGGGAGCGGGAGGCTGAGGGCGAAGAGTATGCGGATAAGGAAAAGTTTGTCACGGAGGCGTATAAGAAGCAGCAGGAGGAGAACCGGCGGATCGAAGAGGAGGAGAGGAGGCGGGAGGAGGAGGAGGCCAAGAAGAACAAGACGGGCGGCATGAGCGCTTTTTACAAGAATCTCTTGAACAAGGGCGAAGAGAGGCATGCCGAGGTTGTGAGAGCGGCCGAGGACAAGGCCAAGGCCGGTCCGGCGGTACAAGAAGAAGACGATACATCGAAAGAGAAGTCTGAGGCCGATGTGGCGCGGGAGATCAACCAGAGAGGCGGCGCCGTTGCCGTCAACGAAGACGGGCAGGTGGTGGACAAGCGACAGCTGCTCAGGGGCGGTCTCAACGTCGGGGCCAAGAAGGAAGCGCAGGTCAGGGAGGAGGCTGCGCGGCCGAGGGAGAGCAGGCCGGAGCGCAGCGCCGGCACAGGTTTCGTCGGCTCCGGCGGCAAAGGCGCGATGCGGGAGCGGCAGACGAGGATGCTCGAGGCGCAGTTGGAGGCTGCCCTTAAACGGTCCCGCGAGGAGGAGGACGCGGAGCGCGAAAAGGTCGAGCGGGTCACCAAGACGAGGAAGACGGAGGGGGAGATCTCGAGTGCCAAGGAGCGGTACCTGGCGAGAAAGCGCGAGGCGGAGGAGGCGAAGAAGAAGGGCCTGGCGGAGTAAAAATTTCTACCTCTACAAGATACCCTGAGAAGCATACAACGGCTCGTTTCTCTATATGCATCTACGTTCTTCTTTCGGCGTAGCAGCATGTCTAGGCGCATCCCCCTTTCATTCGTTATGCTCTTTGACGCGAATCTTGTGTACATTTCGTTGATGTCCGATTCCCTGACGCAGTATGCTGCATCACTCCGCCATCGGAAGCTTTCCCTACTTCAGGAATCTCTTCCCTGACCTGAATGCCTTCATTGGACTTTACAAAGCCCCCTTTTCAGTATTGTTGTACAGTAATCGTACACGAACACATTCTCTAGTGTAGTTTCCTCATCATGCCAGAGTCGATTTAAAGGCTGGGGTTGCTGGACTCCTGCTTTATCCGTGCAATGTAGGCTTGGTTGACCTGGTTCCACGCCGACATGTACTTCTCCATGCACGAGGTCATGCAGGTCGTCTCGCCGCTGGACAGGGAGCTGCCGGGCTTGGGCACACACTTCTCAAAGCAGTTCTCTTGGAGTTTCTATTTGCAATTGCGTATTTAGCTCCCCGGTCTCTCGTAGAGGGCTTTCGGGAAGGCTGGGTGACTTACCTCAATGAGGACGCGGGCGTTGGCCAGGTTTGCCTCCTGGAGGACCTGCTTCATGACGGCATTCTTGACAGTTGTGGACTCCATTTTTTCGTCTGATTTTCTCAAGTCTTGCGGTATGACTGGGTATGAGTTGAAATAGGGAAAGGGAGAAAATTGCACTGGATTGACTAGAATAGTGACGTTCTTAACTGGCGATTGATGCGCCGAAATTGATCCCAAATGGCCGGCTAGCTTCGCATTGAAGCCGACTCTGGGAGAAAAAAAGTTGAAGTGGCTGGTGCTACAAGGCTGCTGTGGCGCAAGCGCAAAAGCCTGAGGCAGGGTTTCGATGTTCTGGCCTTCCTCTGGAAGTGACGCACCTCAGTGAGAAAAGCGGAAGCCCAGGGCCCACCCAATAGCGGTCGGAGGTGCGCTGTATTAGTTGGTGAATGGCAGGGTGCCTGGCCTGAAGCACACCTAGGCTCTAGCGTACAGCAGGGGTAGGAGCTCCAAAACGTGCTGACCCCAGGAATCAGGATCCATCAGCCAAAAAAAGAGGACAGCTAACGGCCTGAGAAGGGGACACACGAGCAAGCCAGCAAAACCCACCGGGCCACCACCACGACGTCCACAACCCCCTTCGACACGTTTTGCCGAAACGACGACGACGACGCCCTCTCCGTCGCTGGACATTGCGGCTCTATCCATTTTGCACCACCCGGCGGCCCTTTCTCCTCCTTCGTTCGCGACGCGCATCACCGTCTAATTCCTTTTCTCTTTTGGGTTTCCTCTCTTCGTTTCGAGCTTTAAGCAACCTCAGCCATGTGGTTCAAGCAGTCCCTTTCGGCCGTGTGGCTGGCCGCAATCGCCTTGGGCACCGCAAAGGCGGATGATGGAGAAGTCAAGAGCATTGCGGTTCGTTCCAACATCTTGTCCCCCTCAGCTGCAACACGAGTGTGCGCGCATGTTGTAGACAGAACGATGAAGCTGACTTTCTCGTTTAGCTCCGAACGCACTCCCTAAGCCAGGTTCGCGACTCCCGCGCTTTCCATGCGCCACCATAACCCCTGAGTGCACTTTACTGAGACTATTCGCGATAGCCCTACCTCGATTCCGATATGGCAAGTCGGTGGTACGACTTTGGCGGAGACACAATCATCAGGACGGACTCGTACGTTTTACACCTACTCTTTCCCTATCGAATCGGCTTGGAGATATGTTTCTTTGTGGCAGAAAGAAAAGAGGGAAAAGAAACCGAAGGCTAAGGCATAGGAACACGATTGCAGCTACATCCGATTGACATCCGACCGCCCGTCGCAGACCGGCTGGCTCTTCTCGAGAGTGCCTCTGACAGCGACCAACTGGGAGATTGAGGTCGAGTTCAAGATTCACGGCAAGAACCAGCTCTACGGCGACGGCTTCGCCATGTGGATCACCAAGAACCGCGGCCAGGCGGGACCCGTCTTTGGCAGCCCTGACAACTTTGACGGCCTCGGCATCTTCTTCGACACATACAAGAACAACCGCCCCGGCACCGTCTTCCCCTACGTCATGGCCATGTTCGGCGACGGCAAGACCTCCTACGACAAGGACAACGATGGCAAGAACACGGAGCTCGCCGGCTGCTCCGCGCGCGGCATTCGCCACGCGAGTGTGCCCACCAAGGCCAAGGTCACATACTTCCAGGACAAGCTCCTCAAGCTGGAGCTGCAGTACAAGACCGAAGGCGACTGGACCCTCTGCTTCGAGACCAACGAGCCCCCCGCGATTCCCCAGATCGCCTACCTCGGCTTCAGCGCCGAGACGGGCGAGCTCAGCGACAACCACGACATCATCTCGGTGCAGGCCAAGAACCTCTACACGACGCAGACCGGCAAGGGGACCAGTAAGACGACCCCCGGCAGCGGCAAGGGCAAGAAGGGATCTTCCTCGATCAAGAAGGACAGCGGCAGCGGCGGCAGCTGGACGTGGACCTTCTTCAAGGTCTTCCTCTTCTTTAGCGTCCTCGGCAGCGGCTACGTCGGTTACACTGCCTGGAGAGCAAAGAACGACAAGAGACATCGTTTCTAAACAAGTGTTGTTGATGGTGGGGGAAAAAAATCAGAGGGGGGAACAGCCCGTCGGGATGGATGAAATCTCTTATTATTTTGAGGGAGAGAATGACAAAAAGGGGGGGCAAAGCAGCTATTGATCTGATCGGGAAAAGATGACTGATACCGTACATACCAACACCGCAACACACACAAAGTCATGACTTTTGCATGATGGGGGAGGTTGAAGGCGGTGGAGGAGGGGGAAAGCAACCAACGTTTCCATGGTTACTATTTTCTCTCTCTGTCTCTCGTTTTTCTATCCCACATCATGCTTCTCGCTTTACGAATAACTCAGTCTGAGATGAATTCAATTGTATTGTATGACGGTTGGCCGGTTGATGGTGGTTCACATGTGCGGCCCGAGGAATGAATGACTATTAATTATTCCGACCGGAGTTTTTACCATCGGAATTATTGGCGGTATGTACTTAAGCATGGGCGATTACTTATTGCCAGAAACCAAGCTAGATGTAATTTGGCAAAAGCTGCGGGAAGTTTTCACTTGACCCGGTCGCCGGAGAGCTTAAAGATCTAAAGTCCAGACGACAAGGTCGGAATTCTACCGAGCTTGGAGATATAGTGTAAGGTGGGGGTGGGGGGACATGTCATGATGGCGCCAATATGTCAGACTGTAGTGCTTCATCCGGAGGATTACCTCAGAGGTGTAAGTTAAGGTAGCGAAAAAGTGGGTGGTGGTGTTGGGGGATTTGCTGGTTATCAATTTCTCTGGAGTTGTATCCGAGGATAATTGCTCGAGACCTGCTTCGGAAGTGACCGATACATCGGCTTGAACGGTATATTTGACTGTACGCCAAGGAACATCTGTGACCGTGTGTGAGATACGGCCAAGAGCAGACTGTGTGTATTTGTATGCAAGGGTCTCACAGACGTGGGGACGAAGCTGCTCGGAATTTGATACTTTGGCATCAGTGAAGTAGGTAGTGAGGATGACAGAGTTGAGTGGCGCGTGTTTGATCTGCCTCCAGCTTTCGCGGCCGTTCCCGGCGAAAGGTATCCGTGGTTGGAGGGATTTCCCATTGGAATGGGCGTTGTTGACCCGGGATCCGGGAAGGGGAATCGAGTGATAGGCCCGGGCTCGGATGGAAAGTTGGAACCGTACGAGAGAGACAGAACCGCTCTAGCTCATACTTATACTTATTCGAACAAGTTCCTGCCTCCCGCCCCAGCGAGGCGCGAGCGTTCCTCAATTTTGTTTCAGTTGATTTGAGGTACTGTGGTGGTAGTGGTGATTAGGCAGGGAGACGAGACAAGGAAAGCAAAACATGTAGATGGAGGGGCTAATGAGTTCTAGATCTAGATCCGCCGAGTCCCAGATTCAAATGTTGCGCATGCCGACTTTGGGCGGGATAAGGAGTTATAAACTTCCTGAATGGTGATTGAGGTGGTATGTAAGCGGCCAGGCTTTACTTGATATGGACAGGAAAGAGAGTCTGTGTGATATTTGGAGTCATTGGACGGGGGGGTTCAAGTTGGTTAAGGTTTGGACAAGACAGGTGCCTGGGAAGGGGGGGATTTGTTTGAGAGGTTGAGTGACGGTAGCGGTGAGCAGTCGGCTTGTTACGTGTGTCAGTTTGGCGCGAATCGCGGGATTGGAGTTGAGGGCCTGAGAGGAATGCGGATGTGATTAGTGGTGGACGTGGGGGTGGTTCTTTGGGATCTATCGATGGCGAGTGCGGAAGGATTGGGAGGTAGTTGGTGAAGATGATGGGAACTTGAGAGGTGGAGACGAATTGGAATCAAATGTCAATCCGTCGAGGCTCGCAGTTTGACAGCAATTGGGGCAGTACGATGGTAGTAGAGGCAGGTGTGCCTGGATTGGCGGCTGGCCAAGGTAAGGTAAAATGGAAGGTACCTTGCGTCTGACCCTTTCCCACTATTTCAGGTGAGGTCGTCGGCAACGGCACGTCACTGGTCCTTCAATTCGCCTCGAGTGAGGGGTCATTCGCTCTAGCTACATACCTTACCTGGCAGCTGCTCTGGCCGGATGGGGGTAAATGACACCAAACTGAAGGCAAGAGCTCCATGGCAGAATATCACCCCGCCTTCCTTTGACATGTACCTCCCGAGAGGTACCTACCTTTACTGCAGCATCTGAGGTAGGAACTTCAGCTTAGGTAATATATGTATGTACAGCACCCTGTGGCATACATCAGATAGGTACCCGACGGGCACTGGCACTTAGGTAGACTTCCGCACTCGTCCAAAGCACAGAGATTGGTGAGAGAGAGAGAGAGGTCAGGTATCCGGTGTTGCTGGGTAGAGTTGCTCGCTCGATTCAGGTTGGAATCCAGTCTTAATGTCGGTCCAATGTCGAGCGTGCTGGCCAGCCCCGGCAGCTTGTCTCTGTTTGCTGCCACTACGACCCCGTCGAGATTCAGGTTGGGTTACTCGGCCTGCCCCTACCCCACCTCTACTGGGCTTGTTGCTCGATTGCTGCGGTGCGCCTTGCTCGATCTTGGTGGGGGAGAGGCGAGACTCACCATTTGCACTTTGTACCTTGTTCGTGGCATCAGGGCAAGAACAGCATGTACCAGTCGACGACTTTCAAATGTTCTCTCTCTATCTCTCTCTCTATCTCTCTTGGCCAGTTGAAACTGACGTGAACAATCCTCGGATATACGGGTACAGAGATGGAGAAACCAAGGACAGCTCAGACAGACCAGACAGATAGCTAGACATACACACATGCCATGTTGGATGCCCCGCGTTCAACCGAGTCCAAGATCAGCTCTTATGCATGCACGCTGCCTCCCGCTTGTCTCTCTCAGTGTCTCTCTTCCCTTCCTATTGTAACCCAGCCAGGCCTTTTGCACAATGTACCTATGCCACTAGGTATGGCTATGGGGTATGGACTGAACTGGGAACAGGATCGGCCGTCCTTTCCAGCTTGTTCTCGACCCTCTCTGGGCTCGTAGAGTGCTGCCCTCGGCTGTGCCATCTCGATACCGATTGGACGGTGCCGTACTCGGCCTGCCAATGGTTACGATGCTC